TAGCAAATCCCGTGTGTTTTTAGACCCTGACCCCGCCGATCTGCGTGAGGGGTGCCACCGAATTTCAGAAATGTTGCAAATGCCTTGTGTTTTTTGACGCTGACCTCGCCAATCTTCGTGAGGGGTGCCACCGAATTTAGAAATGTGGCAAATCCCGTGTGTTGTTGGACCCTGACCCCGCCGATCTGCGTTCGGGGTGTTAAGTTGTTCCACCCCAGCAATTCAGACAATACGATTTCTCCGTAGTAGAAATGCCTGTTTGGGGCCTCCCCCCCCTCGCGCGGTCCATCAACAAGGAACAGTAAGCAGCAAGAAGTCAACAAGGAACAGTAAGCAGCAAGACGCAGAACTGTAACAGTGGAAACTGGAAGCTGCGACTGGCACAGGAAACTGCGAAGCTTAGCCCTACAGCATGGTGGCCACACAAGGGGGCCGGCGGATTATGCTGCTGATGATGATGATGATGATGATGATGATGGTGCTGATGATGATTCTGATGATGACGATGTTGACTATGATGCGGAGGGGGAGGAGGAGGGATAACTGGGACAAACTGAGGATGATGGCGGTGATCATGATAAAGGTATTGGTGTTGATAGTGATGTTGATGACGAGGGTGATGATGGTGTTGCTGATGATGTTGATGATGCTGTGGATCATGAGGGTGATATGACTCATGATTGTGAATTTGAAGAAGAGTCCTATGATGATGACGGGGAGGGGGCGGGGGAGGAGGAGGAGGAGCACGAGGAAGACGACAAGGAGCTCTTATTGCTGACGCGCTTAGCACTGCTCTCCTCCTTCTCTCTTTCTTTCTCCCTCCCTCCCTCTCCCCGCCGTCCCTGCTCTCCTACAGTCATCCCCTCCTTACCTCTCTCCTTTCTCTATTCCTCCCTGCCCTCCCTCTCTCCCTTTCTTCCTCTCTCCCTCCCCTCAAATTCCCTCTCTTTCCTGCTCCCTCCTTTCCCCGTTCCGTCCCTCCTCCCCGTCCCGTTCCGCCATCCCTCCCCTGCCAACTCTGCCTTCCCTCCCTCCCCACCTTTCCCACCCTCCCTCTCCTCCTGGTTCCCTCAGTTTGACTCTCTTGCCTTCCTGCTCCATCCTCCCTTCCCCTCCTCTTTCCCTTGTTCTCCTTCTCCTCCTTCTCCTCCTCTTCCTCCTCCCGTCTCCCTCCGCCACTCCTCCAATGCTTTCTCCACTCGTCCTGCCTCAGTATTCGCTCTTTCCCTCCAGCCCTCCCTCATTGCGGCAGGTGTCGGACATCCTATCCGAGTGCGAGGGCGACGTGGCGAAGTGGATCGAGGGGCACAATGTCGCGGATCCAAGCGGTGCCTTCGACCGCCTCTGCGGAGGGGTCTTGGGGCTGGCACCATTTGGTGTCATCGGTGAGGCACAAGGGCCAGGAGGATGGAGGAGAAACTTGAGGAGGAGGAGAAGGATCACGTGGGGGGAGGGAGGGACGATGGACAAAAGAGGGAGGGAGACGAGAGAGTCCGCGGTTGTCCACGGGAGGAGGAGGAGAAGGAGGAGGAGGAGGAGGAGGAGGCGGAGGAGGAGGAGGAGGAGGAGAGGGAGGAGGAGGAGGAGGAGGAGGAGGAGGAGGAGGAGGAGGACGAGTGGAAGGAGGAGGAGGAGGAGGAGGAGGAGGAGGAGGAGAGGAAGGAGAAGGACCAGAGCAGAACTGCCAGGACCGGGGGCCGCACCGCCGCCGCCGCCTTCTGCCCAGGCGGTCGGGAGCGGCTCGCGGCGGCGCCCGCACACCAGGGCTGTCGCAGTGCGCCCTCCTGGGCGTCGACGCAGTCCCCGCGTCACGGTGGAGCGCACGAGCTGCACCTTACACGTTGTTCATGCTTTATTATTCGAGAGTTCTTTGTTTTTTGGGGGGGCCAGGATCCTTTTCATTTCTAGTTGTTCTATCCTGGGCCTCTTCCTGGCCACTGGGGGGCCAGGAACAATTAGAAACGAGCATACTTAGAAACGAACGCGATTAGAAATTAACGACGTGTAGGCCTCCCAGACGGGGTCGGAGTGGATGGGGTCGGAGGATCGCGCCGCATCGCCGATACATCGGCGATGCGGCTCGATGAGGGGTTCGATTTCCTCTTCGCCGACGTCGCCCATGCATCGCCGACGTCGCCTGTGCATCGCCGATACATCGGCGATGTATTGGCGATGCGGCTCGATCCTTCGATCCCATCTACTCGGACCCCATCTGGGAAGCCTCTATACACGGACCGAAAGGGTGGTGCCACTTGAAGCCGCCGTACCTGGTCAGGATGACAGTGGTGGGGGCACTGGTCTGGCGCTCGCGTCGATCAGGACCACCATCTCCTTCTTCTCGTCCTTCCCAAGTCCTCATTGTTCGCGGCTTCGAGAGAAGGATGCTAGCGGCCTGGCTCAATGTCAACCTCCAGCAAGCGGTCACCAGCTGGCTGGCCAAGCCAGAGACGCAACCACGTCTGAGCTCACCATGACGGGATCGTGCCATGGTGTTTGTGTACGAGCCACAGTTGGTGGCCATGTCTTGCTTCTCCCCGCCCACGTTTGCGCCCAGCAGCTGCGCGGCCTGCGACGATGGGGGGGGGCCTTCACAGGTCTCTCGTCCCCGTCATTGGCCCTTCCTCCCACCATCTCGGCCTGAATCGTCATCAGCATCAGCATCAGCATCATCAGCAGCTGCATCATCCTCAGCATCAGCAGTATGATCAGCGTCAGCATTAGCATCACCATCGTCGTAATCAACATCGTCATCACCATGCTCCTCCTCCTGCTCATCAGCATCATCATCAGCATCATCAGCATCGGCATCGGCATCAGCATCAGCATCATCATCATTCACGTCATTAGCATCATACGCGTCACTACCACGACCAACATTCGCATAATACTCATCATCATCATGATCATCATCACCATCATCATCATCGTCACCACGATCATCATCATCATCATCAACAGCATCATCATCAAAAACAACAGCATCACAACCACCATCAGCATCAGCATCAGCATCATCAGCATCATCATCAACATCACCAACATCAGCATCATCAGCATCGTCATCACCCGCATCATCATCATCAACAACATCATAACCACCACCAGCATCATCATCAACAGCATCATCGCAATCATCGTCATCAGCATCATCGTCATCAGCATTATCATCATCATCATCAAGATCATCATCAGCATCAAGCACAACATCATCACTATCATATCAGCATTAGTATCATCATCATCACTATCACCACCATCTGCATCATCAGCATCATCAGCATCATCAGCACCGTCATCACCCGAATCGTCATCATCAACATCATCATCACCACCAGCATCATCATCATCAGCATCATCGCCATCATCATCAGCATCGTCAGCATCATCATCAGCATCATCATAATCACCATCTTCATCAATCTCATCATCATCATCATCATCATCATCATCATCATCGTCATCATCATCATCATGAACAGCAGCATCACCACCACCATCACCATCAGCATCAGCACCAGCAGCATCATCATCATCACCACTACCATCATCAGCATCATCAGCATCATCAGCATCGTCATCACCCGCATCATCATCATCATCATCATCATCATCATCATCATCAACATCATCATCACCACCAACAGCATCATCATCAGCATCATCGCCATCATCATCATCAGCATCATCATCAGCATCATCATCATAATCACTATCTTCATCCACATCATCATCGTCATCATCATCATCAGCATCATCATCATCATTAGCATCATCAGCACCATTACCATTATCGTCATCATCACCATAATCATCATCACCTACAGCAGCATCATCATCCATAGCCAGTTTGGCACAAGGCCACATCCGTGCTGGCAGCATTCCAGCGGCCACAGCCGCAGTGGCTCCCGTCAGCCGATTCCACACGTGACCCTGATTATTGTGAAGGCCTTACGGCCGGTGCCGCCGACCCTGAAGGTTTGGGCTGTCGATGGCGACGGGATGCGTGATCACAGGAAGGAGCTAAAGGACAAAGTGACAGGGTAGGCGGAGGAAGTGTGTGTGTGTGAGGAGGAGGAGGAGGAGGAGGAGGAGGAGGAGGAGGAGGAGGAGGAGGAGGAGGAGGAGGAGGAGGAGGAGGAGGAGGAGGAGGAGGAGGAGGAGGAGGAGGGAGGAGGAGGAGGAGGAGGAGGAGGAGGAGGAGGAGGAGGAGGAGGAGGAGGAGGGGGAGACAAACGAAAAGGAGATGGAAAAGGTAGGACGCTCAGGAGGAGGAGGAGGGAGTGGTATCCTGACCCGGGACCCCCCCCAGCCAGGACCTCCCCCGGGACCCCCAGGACCCCCCCGGCGCGACCCCCCCGACCCCCCCCGGGTTCCCCGTCGGAACCCTCAAGGAGGAGGAGGTGGTATTCTGACCCCCCCCCTGGGACCCCCCCGGGACCCCCCCCGGGCTTCCCTCGGGACCCCCCCCCCGGCCGGGGAAGGGAACAAAGGGAAGGGGAAACCCTTCGAGTCAATTGACTTTACGCAGGAGGAAGAGATGAAGGAGGAGGAAAGGGAGGAGGAGGAGGGAGAAAGAGGAGGAGAAGGAGGAGGAGGAGGAGGAGGAGGAGGAGGAGGAGGAGGGGGAGACGAACGAGAAGGAGACGAACAGGAGATGGAGAAGGTGGCAAAAAAACGCTCAGGAGGAGGAGAGGAGGAGGAGGAGGAGGAGGAGGAGGTGGTATTCTGACCCGGGACCCCCCCCAGGACCCCCCCAGGACCCCCCCCCAGGACCCCCCCGGGACCCCCCCCCGGGACACCCCCCGGGCTTCCCCCTCCCCCCGCCCGGAGAAGGGAACAAAGGGAAGGGGAAACCCTTGAGTCAACGGGCGAGAGTTCCAGCTGGGAGATCGCACCTTCCGACTTCATTTTCCCAAAGGTTATCCGTGAAGATGCAAATTGGACCAGCAAGTTGAACACGTGTGCAAAAGCTGTCAGCACGAGCCTCGAGCTACAAACACATGAACCAATTCTTCACCAAGGTGATGTACGAGTACCAAGCCTTGGACAAGTACAGGTACTATCTGCACATAGATGCAGACTTCGCTTTCATGGCGGACCTCGACAACGATCATTTCTGCATGATGGCGAAAACAGGACGCAAGTTCATGTGGCAGACGTGTCAGGATATATGGGTCAAGGAGTGTTCGCATGGTCGTTGGGAGTGGTTCCAGCAGTATCAGCAGACGCGCGGCCTGACCGTTCAGGATCCTGATATTTGGAACGAGCGCTTAGCCCAGCAGGTCTACGTGGACTACGCAGGCATGGTGGATCTGGACTCTTGCGGAGGCGTTCGACGAGGACGGGCGAGTTTACCTGAATCGTTGGTCGGATCAGACCAGACATACTATCTTTTCGTGTTCGCCCTGCTCGAGTCGCACTCCTCTGTCGGCGAGAACGGTTTTGACTGGGGCTTAGCTGGCACGTATGGAAGACGGTGTCACAAGTACACAGTCGACTTGCCGTTCAACAGCGTCACTGGAAACAACGAGCCCATCGATTGCAAGCACCCCTTGTCGCTGGGAGAACATGGGAAATAACATCATTCTCGTTGGCACGGGCATCGGCCTCACGAGCGCACACCAGTGGAAGGCGGCGAAGAGCGTGAATTGATGTCATGAGTGCGATGCACCACTGTAGAATTAGTGCAATTGTGTATCCTTGGTTTTAGCCGAATGGTGGAGATGAATGTTGTAAAAGGGGTATACAGGAAGGAATGGCAAGATGGATGCTTCTTTCGGGCTGTCGGACGCATCTCTGTAACACCATTATCATGCGATAAGTTATCCTTCCGTGCCTGTGCGATTATTCGTGGAGTGGAAGTGGGCTTGGCAGAACCGACTGTTTCCTATAATGTGCGGGTCGTGACTGTCCTCAGCTATGTGCTCCAGTTCCATCGTCCTGCCCCTCGTCTCTTCCAGCTCGAAGATCGCGCCCTGTTAATTATTCATTCTGGCCCGCGCTACAGCTTCAGTGGCAAAATGATGCATCTTCTCGACGACGCAGGATATAACTTGTTCTGCCCTTCGATTGCCTTCATTGCGAACACCTCTGTGTTTCGAACTGCCATGGGTTCTAGTGCCTGGGACGAGTATTTGGAAACGTTGGCGGGGATCCGCCGTTCCTCCAACTATCTGATCCCCGCCAGGTTGGTCTCTGGTTGGTTTGCAGAGCCGTTTCTCTCGTAAATGGCTGGTGTGGTGGCCGAACTTTCACCGATTGCAGCCAGTATTGCCCCTGATCCAGCGCGGGTGACTCAGGCGAAATTGGGCGCACGTTTGCATAACACTGCTAAGCCTGGGTTGCTGATCGGAGAAGTTCCCAGGAGAGCGTGTTTTTTTGTCCCCTGGCGGGCAGCGTTTGTTACCCGGGCTCCCCCCCCCTGGTAACGCTAACGATCGTACCCGTTTTGGGGGTGGAGGGCGGACCCCCGTCCTCTCAGCAGGTATGGCGCTGTGCTCACAGGCGCGGCTTGGTGCTGAAAGGCATGTGAGGTGCTCACGAACGCGTTGTGGCGTTCGCAGGTTCCCCACCTGTTGCGGCGCCGAATTCACAGGCATGGCGTGGTGCTAAACAGGCATGTGTCGGTGCTCGCCTGCCTGTTGCGGCGCTTGCAGGCTATTGCAGTGCGCAGACTAGTGTGGTTTACGTATACATCCCTACGTTATGTTCCCCTGCTCTTCCTGCTGGTGGAACTCCAGAAGCAGTGCTGCCAAGGGGTTTCGCATCCATGTTTGGGTGGAGCAATGGTTATCCCGCGTCTGTTACAATTGGCGCTGACGAAAGCGAGGCGACGTCGAACGGTGCCATGAGTGCAGTTGATGTATGGCATAACATAATCCTACCTCCTCCCGCCTTCTCCACCGCCTACTAATATCCTCCCCCTTCTTCGTCGTCCTCTGCCCCTCCTCCTCCTCCTCCTCCTCCTCCTCCTCCTCCTCCTCCTCCTCCTCCTCCTCCTCCTCCTCCTCCTCCTCTCCTTCCTTTTAGAAGTGGTCATTTGGGCCGCAGGGGTTTATCCGCACAGCGCCCTTGCCCCCTCGCCTCGCCCTCCCCCATCGCTCCTCGTCCTCCTCGTAGGCTTTCGTTCGCATTTGCGGGCCGAGTTTCGAGACATGTTCGTTGCGTGCGGGCGCGCCGAGGTACGATGGGGATGTTCGCTCTTGTCTGCTCATGCGCCATTCGAATTATCTTGGCGAAGGACCCAACCATATGAAGTTGTGGGTACCGCAATTGTGAATATTTTCTTCGGTGAAGCTCCCTATGGGGCCACGAAGCGCTGCGCTAGGCGGCATGCGGTCGATAGCGCTGGGGCCGTCGGTGAAGCTCCCTACGAGGCCACGGAACGCTGCACTGGGTGGGTGAAAATACCAAAGTAGGCGTGTGGGACGCACGCGGGCGGTCCCATTTGGGGCTTCGGTGGAGCCCCCTTATGGGGCCGCGAAGCGTTGTAAAAGGGTTGGCGAAATTGCCAAATTGGGTGTGGGGGACGCATGCGGGCGGTCCCACTGGGGGCTTCGGTGGGGCTCCCTATGGGGCCACGAAGCGCTGTGCCGGGGCTGTGAAAATGCCCAATTGGGCGTGGGGGGCGCATGCGGGCGGTGCCACTGGGGGCTTCGGTGGAACTCCCTATGGGGGACGACGCATGCGGGCGGTCCCACTGGGGGCTTCGGTGGAGTTCCCTATGAGGCCACGAAGCGCTGCACTGTGCGGGTGCAAATGCCAAATTGGGCATGGTGAGCGCATGCTGGCGGTCCCATTGGGGGTTTCGGTGGAGCTCCCTGTGGGGCCACGAAACGCTGTGCTGGGTGGGTGACAGTGCTAAGTTGGGTTTGGGGGACGCATGCGGGCGGTCCCACTGGGGGCTTCTGTGGGGTTCCCTATGAGACCACGCAGTGTGTACTGGGTGGGCGAAATTGCCAAATTGGATGTGGGGGGCGCATGTGGACGGTACCACTGGGGGCTTCGGTGGGGTTCCCTATGGGGTCAGTACCGGGTGGGTGAAAATGCCAGATTGGGCGTGGGGGGCGCATGCGGGCAGTCCCATTGGGAACTTCGGTGGAGCTCCATATGGGACCACGAAGCGCTGTACTGGGTGAGTGAAAATGCCATATTGGGCGTGGGGAACGCATGCGGGCGGTCCCACTGGGGGCTTCGGTGGGGCACCCAATGCGACCACGAAGCGCTGTGCTGGGTGGGTGACAGTGCCAAGTTGGGTGTGGGGGACGCACGCGGGCGGTCCCACTGGGGGCTTCGGTGGAGCTCCCTATTGGGCCACGAAGCGCTGTACTGGGTGGGTGCAAATGCCAAATTGGATGTGGGGGGCGCATGTGGGCGGTACCAATGGGGGGCTTCGGTGGAGCTCCGTATGGGGTCACGAAGCGATGTGTTGGGTGGGTGTAAATGCCAAGTTGGGTGTGGGGGACGCACGCGGGCGGCCCCACTGAGGGCTTTGGTGGAGCTCCCTATGGGGCCACGAAGCGCTGTGCTGGGTGGGTGACGGGCTTCGGTGGAGCTCCCTATGGGGACACGAAGCGTTGTATTGGGTGGGTGCAAATGCCAAATTGGGTGTAGACGCATGCGGGCAGTGTCACTGGGGGGTTCGGTGGATCTCCCTATGGGGCCACGAAGCGCTTTGCTGGGTTGGTGGCAATGCCAAGTTGGGTATCGGGGACGCATGCGGGCGGTCCCAGTGGGGGCTTCGGTGGGACTCCCTATAGGGCCGCGAAACGTTGTACTGGGTGAACATGCCAAATTTGATGTGGGGGACGCATGTGGGCGGTACCACTGGGGGCTTCGGTGGAGCTCCCTATGAGGTCACGACGCGCTGTACTGGGTGGGTTTAAATGCCAAATTGGGCGTGGGGAGCGCACGCGGGCGGTCCCACTGGGGGCTTCGGTGGGGCTCCCTGTGAGGCCACGAAACGTTGCACTGGGCGGGTGTAAATGCCAAAGTGGGCGTGGGGGACGCATGCGGGTATACCCACTGGGACCTTCGGTGGAGCTCCCTATGGGGCCACGAAGCGTGTGAAGAGTGTGCCGAAATGGGCGTGCGGGACGAATGCGGGCACACCCACTGGGACCTTCGGTGGAGCTCCTTATGGGGCCGCGAAGCGTGTGAGGGGTGTGCCGAAATGGGTGTGCGGGACGAATGCGGGCACACCCACTGGGACCTTCGGTGGAGCTCAGTATGGGGCCACGAAACGTGTGAGGGGTCTGCCGGAATTGGTGTGCGGGGCGCATGCGGGCACACCTACTGGGACCTTCGGTGGAGCTCAGTATGGGGCCACGAATCGTGTGAGGGGTGTGCCGAAATGGGCGTGCGGGACGCATGCGGGCACACCCACTGGTACCTTCGGTGGGGCTCCGTATGGGGCCACGAAACGTGTGAGGGGTGTGCCGAAATGGGTGTGCGGGGCGCATGCGGGCACACGCACTGGGACCTTCGGTGGAGCTCAGTATGGGGCCACGAAGCGTGTGAGGGGTGTGCCGAAATGGCTGTGCGGGAAGCGTGCGGGCACACCCACTGGGACCTTCGGTGGAGTTCAGCATGGGGCCACGAAGCGTGTGGGGGTGTGCCGAAATGGGTGTGCGGGACGAATGCGGGCACACCCACTGGGACCTTCGGTGGAGCTCAGGATGGGGACACGGAGCGTGTGGGGGTGTGCCGAAATGGGCGTGCGGGACGCATGCGGGCACACCCACTGGTACCTTCGGTGGAGCTCCCTATGGGGCCACGAAGCGTGTGAGGGGTGTGCCGAAATGGGCGTGCGGGGCGCATGCAGGCACACCCACTGGGGCCTTCGGTGGAACCCCCTGTATGGAGCCACGAAACGTGGGAGGGGTGTGCCGAAATGGGTGTGCGGCGGGTCGAATGCGGGCACACCCACTGGGACCTTCGGTGGAGCTCCCTATGGGGCCACGAAGCGTGTGAAGGGTGTGCCGAAATGGGTGTGCGGGACGCATGCGGGCACACCCACTGGGACCTTCGGTGGAGCTCCCTATGGGGCCACGAAATGTGACGATGATGGTGACGACGGTGCTGATGACGACGATAATGATGATGACGGTGACGATGGTGGGAGGAGGGAGGAGGAAGGAGGGAGAGGAGGAGAGGAGGGGAGAACGCGGGGCGACGTCTCTTCAAAACGAGGACCCAACAACACAGGTTGGTTGGGAAAAATCCCACCTCCTTCCAACCTCCCACACTCCCTCCCGCCTCCCTCCTCCCCCGCCTCGCTCTCGAGTCTTCCCCCTCCTCCCATATCATTCCATCTCCTCTTGGCCGTCTCGTTCGAAGCAAGCTGTGGGTGATCTTGCCGAAACGTCACAGAGTGCCAGCCCTGCAGCTTGCGTGCCATCGACCCTACTCTCCAGGTGCGGCGGTGTGCACGGGCGACGTGGGGGAGGAGGAGGAGGAGGAGGAGGAGGAGGAGGAGGAGGAGGAGGAGGAGGAGGAGGAGGAGGAGGAGGAGAAGGAGAAGGAGGAAGAGGAGGAGGAGGAGGAGGAGGACCAGAAAAAAAACTTCGCAAGCTACTGATGTGCCCGTTGGCACGTCATGTTGCAGACGGGCGGCGTGGCGCACGGAAGCACTGTGGCGTGCGCGGGCGCTGTGGTGTACGTGGTTGCCGTGGTGCACGCGGGCAAAGTGGTGCCTCCTCCTCCTCCTCCTCCTCCTCCTCCCTTCTCCTGCTCCTCCTCCGTCTCCTCCTCCTCCTCCTCCTCCTCATCCTCCGCTTCCTCCCCCCACTCCTAGCCCTTTCGATCAGGGTCGGCGGCAACGGCCGTCAGGCCTCTCCAATACACAGGTTTTGTGGCGTACATGGGCGGCGTGGTGGCGTTGTGCACGCAGCTGCTGTGGCGTACCGAAGCATTGTGGTGCACTCCGGCGATCTGGCATTGTCGCGTGCGCAGGGGTTGCAGCGCGCGCAGGCAATTGATGTACCGATGGCGCGGACGCACCCTGGCGGGCACACGCCGCGGCCGCCGTTACCGTTACACCCCCCCGGGTAACAGCCGTTACCCGAAATAGTAAACTGTTCCCAGAAGAGTGCTGAAATGGCTCCGTTTCCCGCTCGATAGTGCCGTGTGGTTTCCGATTTTCCAGGTTCGGATGCGAAAAATTTGCCGTTCCGTTTTCATGTTTTTAGTTGTTGCCGTCTTGCGGGTTCTTTGCCGTGGGATTTGG